AGATTAAGAGATTTTTTCCCTAGTCTAGTCTACTAATGAAGCCTCCAGCCTCAGAAGAATGGCCCAAAATCCAAAAGGATCTGCAGGGAAGCCACTGCTTTACCTAGGAGTAGATCTGGTCTTGCTGTTGGTTGTCTCCTCATTGATAATGCTAAAATGTCACGCAACAAAATCAAATTCCAACACTGCAWGCATACATTTTATATGTATAGCGTGACACTTAACAGCATGAGCCAACATGGGATATTGTTCTAAAACAGAAGGTTTATTCTTAACTACACATGAGCTAATATCAATGCAGTTTAAAACTGATAAGGCAAAAAAWACCTGAGAGCTTGCTATCAATTTCAATATAAGGCAGCTATTTTATTTACCAAAAATGGAGCCCATCATTTCCCTCATCAAGGCCTAAATAACATTTTTCCCTACAAAGCAAGAAGTTAGAGAAATCCTGTGCAGTTTGTTACAGTATGAATTGTGAAGGACACCAGAAGGTGACTTGCATTTAATTCAGTCTCTATTTTTAAAAACTACTAAGTCTATCCATCACCATGGTAACTCAAGAACTATCTTCCTCTCATACATTCTGATTATATATTTTCAAAAAAAATTAACAAGAGAAGCTGATCCTAATCATTTTACATGACATTGTGAATCTGTATGTGGAAGCAAATGAAAACTGAAATACTGCATGTTGCTGCAATAGGGCTCACAGTGTTTTTTGAATAATTTCTTTCCAAGTTCTGTGCTCTTCCAAAAAAAACAACAAGTTTTAAGCCAATCACTGTAGTTTTTCAAGTTTTAATGACTTAAGATTTGCTTGCAAGCTGATCTTATTTTAATCTCCTTAAAATTTAAGCATACTCCTAATTCCCTGAAGCTAGCTCCAAGATTTCCACAAATCCCACGTGAGGGACTGACAAATTAAATTTCTTAAAAATTAGGGGGTGGGGGAGAGCAGTTGTGGGAATTCTTGAGACTCTCAAGATGCAAAGCACAAAATGAGCACGGGTAAGTTCAAGTGCTGCAGCAGAGGGGAGTCATGCTGAGACTCTCTGGACTTTACATAGTCACCTACAAGCAGATAAATAAAGATTCCAGAGGCCAGCTCTACCGAAGAGGAAATGCCCACTTCATGATACCCACTAAAAAAAACCTGAAGGAATCGTATTATAAAAATACCCAGCATATACACAGAGCCCTGAAGCGGTCACCCTGCTCCAAACCACTCTGCCCGTATTCTTTACAACCCCATCAAGAAGTGCTCAATTCAGGCAAGTATCTTCTAGTAACCAAATAACAAACCTGCTAAAAGCTCCTACTTAGGTTGCTAAGCACTCAGGTGTTTGCCCAGCAAGCTTCTCCCTTGGAGAAAATGAAGAGCCACATGTAACTGAAGGGGAAATATTTACTCTAGATTTTCCTTTACATTCTCGAAGCAGCTGCAGTAATTCTGGGATGGAATTCACATCTGAGTGCCTGGGTGCTCCATGAAATTCTGCCCTTCACTCTACCCATGGAAAGCGGTGAAAGGGGGGACTTCAGTATTTTGGGATATTGAGGATAGGCGAGACTTCCTTTGTAACACTTCAACTGATTAAAGGAATTTCCCACGTGCAGGTAGCCATGAACATGAGCAAGAAAGGGAATGGATGGGTATCTGCAAAACCATCCCTGTATGTTTGTTTCAAAACAAATACTTCATATTTTCAGTAGTCCGTATGCACGAGCTATGAATAATATATAAAATATATGTTCASTCTTAACAGTCTTTTCTATTGAGGGAGACTTTTCTGAAGTAGAATTCTGATGCAATAAGTCTGTTTTAAAAGCATTCCGGTCATATCACACTTCTGTCCGCACCGCTTAGAAGGCGGTAGCAGCAGTTCCACAGCTTCATCAGGCTGCAAGCAAAAGCCAACTCATTAAGGAAAAATCTCCCATAAAACACTTCAATGCAGGAGTGAACTACAGCAGTGACGCAGGGAATGGCATCTTTCTCTCCCATCGGTTTTGAACTCATCTCCCAATCAAGTTGCCAGGGAAACCTAAAAAGATCTGAGTGATATAATCCGTTACCCTGCCTTTTTTTTTTCCTAGGTAGGAGCCTCAGAAAGTTTAAAAGAAGCCAACGGGAGTTTTGATTCAGACTCAGCTGAATCTGGTCCATCTGTGCCCAGCCCAACTGGATATTTTTCCTAAAACTAAACCAGGAGTCATTCTGCTCTGCACCTCCAATGCAAAAAGGAGCAGATAACTGAGCTGGCCAGCTTCTGAATCAGGTAATTATGTTTAGTCTCTACAGTCTCCTGCTATTTCAACAAAAGTGGCCCTCACATCTCATCCTAAACTCTGAGGATTTTTTTTTTTTTTTTTTTTTTTTTTAAAATAGCTCCTAAGGCCCCACCTGTGAGTTTCAATGATCTCTTTAGCTGACTTAACTCACAAGAGCCTCATCTGACCTAATTAAGTTAAACTCAGAGAGAACTTCGGGATCTTTTATTTAGAAGCAGTATCAAAATTGTTACCATACAGAATAAGAAATCAAGTTAACTATCTTACTTGTAATATGTTTTTTTGGTCCCAGTACGCTGGACTGGGGTACACAATGACATGTTGGATACACATGTACTTCATCATAAAAGATGCAATTCCGGTGTCTCCATCTACCTCTGTCTGCAGAAATCTCTTCTTTTCCAGCTCTGCCTTCCTCTTTGGAGTGGGCACAAGCAAAACTGAGCTACTCACAGGGGTACCAGTAATAATTACATTTTTCCTTCCTCTCCCACTCTGTATGAAGTRGAAAGAAGGGAGCCACTGGCATGTTTGCTTTATAAGCCTTTGCAATGCAGAGAAAGGACAGGTAGAAGCTTCTTTTAGGTTTTTCACACTTCCCACAAAAGGAAATAACCATCAAGTGGCTATTTTGTTGTGCTTTAATCCAAGTCACAACACAGAGTATTTGAGACAGGCAAAATAGTAATACAAGATAAAATACAAGATAAAAATACAAAATCATCCCCTTAAATTTTGGATAAGGATAGTGAGAATAAAAAATCCCAGACAAGTAGGTTAAGCAGAACAGTAACCTTTTTTGACAAAAGCAGTTACTAAAAATTACTGTTTCTGTGCTCATCACCAAAGTCTGGATATAAGCAAAGCAGAAAGGAAGAGAACTGCCTATTTATTAGATATTAAGTCCATTTTAGTTAGTTTTAGGCCTAGATATTAGTTTAGGCCTGTTAAGAGACATTGTATCATCAGACAGTTGTCTTACAGTACAATATTATTARATAATAAAGTGCCTACTGTTACTGTTTATAGGTATGGACATACTGAAGACAGCTGTAAATAACAGGGAGCATTATWACTCTCACTACAGTACGCAGCTTTTCCACAAAGCTGACTAAATGCAGTAATAAGGTGTATAATATTACATTTCTCAGATTATTCATGTTACAACTCAGGGGATAATAAAATTTTCTGCTCCTAAAGCTACAAGGGATTTTTTCTCTTTATTCTCCTACAATTATTTCAAAATGTGACCTTACGGCACAGCTACTAGCCTGAACAACAAGCACAAAAACCTAAATTCAGTTCTACCAGGTTCATTCACTTACCTCTCCACGTCTCCAGAGACTGTTCTTTCATGTTAGAAAAAGCACCAATATTACATTACCATCTAGATTTCCCCCCCCCCCCCAAAAAAAGGTACAAAAAAAAATGTCTTTTTCCTCCTAAAGCTTCATTTCTTTGCCCTGCTATTTAAGAATACACTAATATGTATCCCCTTACTACACTAATGATTCCCCTTACTGAAAGTCAGTATCATTGTCAGTATTATTGTTGCCTTCTTCATCTGACTGTGGGGAAACAAAAAATTATCTCACAAGAAAACTGAAAATGTTAATGTTTTCCACCTACACCAGAGAGCTAAGCATTTGGGATGGAAAAAAAGAAGGAACATTAGCTGTAAGAGCAGTAACGAAGAAAAAAGAAAGAAAAAAAAAGTGACAGAAACGTGCACGAAAACACCCTCAAAATTAAATTGKTTGCTTATTTCTAAGAGGAAGATTCTTTACCATGGGCAACAGCTTCCCCTGGAAGTTGRAGCAACCCAAAGGAAAACTAATTTCATAATGGACTTGATGCAGTTTTGAACATAGCACAGAATGTGAATTGTTGGCCTGGATGAAGGCCAGGCTCTTTCAAATCAAGTAGGTACCTTCCAAACACATTTTCTAGATATCTAATGAATGGCACTTCAGCTTTAAGTGTCTAAGTTGCTACAGTTTTACAGAGAACAAATCCTTTAAGGTTAAAAGTAACAAAAAAAATCATGCTTTTACCACCTGCAATTCTTGGATCTTATCCTAGAGCTGTACTAAAAGGAAACGAAATTTAAAAAGGGAAAATACTCTTGCATATATAAGACTGTTAGTTGCTCTTCCATAGGATTTCACCATTGGAAAAGTATGAGAAGAGCAAAAAAGCAGAACACAAGGAGCTACTATGTGGCAGCATTTGAAAGTGACATCATTTGTACTCAACGTACTTAAGTGATTTTCATTTTTTAAGCGATAGAAACACAGTATGCAAAGAAAGATGTGACTGCTGGTTCTTTCACATTCCAGATGCTAGAAACAAGTACTTACAGCCTGTGCTAAATAATTCTTTAAAGCTTTTGATGAGATGTTACAAAATCTTCTTTTTTTTTTTTTGTCACTGAACCCACATACTTTCTAACATACTTAAGAACACTTAATTTTGTTTTGTAACAGCAAAACTTTTGGATATGAGGCAGTTTCAAGTCTGCTTCCATCTGTTTGCATTGTAGCGCTCATGAACCTCGTGTGATCAATGACTCCATAGCTAGTCTGTGCATCACTAGATCAATCAAATCTAGTTTTTAGTAATCATGACTTTTTCCCAGTGGATCGAAATACATGCAAAATCTCTTCGTGATTACTTGAGAAAACAGAGAAGAACAGTGTTCTTACCACATACAGTTGTTTCCAGAGCACAGCCCATTCCTGCAGCGTTGCAGTGACTTCGGTCACAACGGAATCTTCGAGCGGAACGACCGTTTCATATTGCCTAGACAGGACAGGGGGTGCAAAACAGTAAGAAAGGGGGCCCTGAAGAAGGGCCATGACAAAGCAATACTGACACAGCAACCTAGAAAATCCCAAAATCCAGCTATTTTGTTAGCAGACAAACACTTTAAGGGCATCCTTGTCTGCTGCTACGCTGGAGGACACAACAGTGTGGAATCACATCAACTGGTCCTCTATTATATTCCACAGAATCAGATTGTATGAAGCACTTCTTAGTTTTATGTTCAATATTTGATTGCCTTCTAATAAAGGTCAAATAAAACACGTTTCATAGCTATAAAAGATGCTARATTAATTTGCATGCAAAATGGGCAGCCTACAGTTTGAATCTCTTCTCTCTGCACTACTCCAGCCCTTTTTTTTCCTTCTATCATTTAACAACTTGGCTGATATTACCCAATTACCCCAAAGATCCCCCTCTACAAACCTTCCATATGCAGCAGAATATACTTTTAATAGTGGATATGAAACCCAGGTGGGCTATCCCACCCATCCCCAGAAGAGCCCGACAAGGAAGCCTTGAGCTCAAGGTTCTCCACAGCCTTTCAGAGCGGATCAAACTCTCTACTTCCATCATTCTTAAGTGCTGAGAGTGTGGTAACACTTATTTATGTATAGGAACAACATTATATTATCTTGCTGTCAGTGCCTTCACTTGGCCTTTATGCTGAACGGCATTTCAGAAACAAATGCCAGATATCAAATCTATTTCAAGCTTCTGCCTTGTCAACATTTTTTTTTTTTTTAAAGGAACAAAAAAGGTAATATTTCTGAAATAGGGCATGCCAGAGCACTTTTCGGTACGTCCTTATGCAGCGGGACTGAATAAGTGTTTGGGGATGAGCTGTGTYAAGCGAGACAGTCACTGCAGCACATCCAGCACCACCAAAGAAGGGCGCTGAGACCTTCCCTCGAGGCAGTGCAGCTCCTTTCCCTGCACAGGCCAGCAGCTATTTTAAAATCCTATTTTAAAAGGAAGCTGCAGAGTCCCTCCCATGCGCCGTGTAAGCTGAGATCGTTTTAAGTTAAGATCCTCTTCTCTGGAGATCTTCAAACCTTGCCTGGATGCCGCCCTGTGCCCCGTGCTCTGGGTGTCCCTGCTGGAGCAGGGGGTTGGATTAGATGATCTCTAGAGGTCCCTTCCAACCTCTGCCATTCTGTGATTTTGAAAGATRAATCTTCAACAGAATGGTTGGACGTAAAGAGACTTTATAACAAGACTAGAAGTAACCAATTAATTATCATGCTYTTCATTTTCACAACTCTGCACTTTCTCTATATTATTCCTGTCATATATGCTATATAATATACAAATATACTAATAATATGATAATGCCATCACACTGGGTCTGTGACTCAGATGTAGCCACAATCGACAWAATTATACACTGTGAGCATATTAAATGCAGAGGCAGAATCTTCTATGAAACCACAATTTCCAGAGGCAAAGGTGTCTTACATTTCATATTTTAGCCTATTTGTATATCAGTCTTTCACACTCCTTTACGAAAACTGTTRTCTCCTCTCCTAATTTGTATCCAAATATGTGAAACTAGTTGCCTTAAATTCTGAACCAACATCAAGTACTAGTATCTAGAGACTACAGGAAACTCAAGGCTACCAGAAGACACATTTTTCCCCAAGGTATTTCGACAAATACTATTTAATTATTCTGTCTTCCACATTTAGTTTGCTGCCACTAGGTCACAGGCTTAAATACTGCATTTAAGTCTCCCAGAGCAGCCTCAAGTCAGATGCTTTTGAAGCTTCCCAAAGTAACAGAGCTAACTTGTCAGTGACCCAGATCTGCTGTCCTTACACCTGCACCTCTAACCTACAGAATTTTGCCAACCAAAAACAAGCCCAAGTGAAGATTACAATTGATGCTTTTTAAGTTTTTTATGCACAGAAGTGAACGGAAGTAAAGAGAATTGTCTTTTCTCAGAGTGAAAAATAACCCCCAAAATTATGAATTTATAACAAAGTTATACAATGTAATGTTTAGTTTTCAAAGTTTAAGCACAGAATCATCCACAACWAAAAAACTACCAACAACCAAAACTACTCTATCAATTCCTGTCTCATTGATAGGAGTACTACAGTTTATTAAGGTGAAGGAAAAGTACTCACCCTCTGTTACTCACAATTGCCTTTTTCAAGTGAATATAGTTTGCAGGAAAAATCCCCTACAARAAGAAAAAGCCTATAAGTTAGAAAAATACATTTACACACCTCAGCATTTACATTCTAAGCTAATTTAAACAATCGGCAACATTAAAAAAAAATCTATCACTGTCATGAAATAAGCTACTGCAATCAAAAACCAACATTCAACCTACACTTGCTGCTGATGTTTTTAACACATCTTAGCATAGGTGCACACCCTGAATCAACGGTACATCTTGAAAGATCACCACCTTCATGAGGAAGTTCTGCAAGTCTATCAAACAGAAGTATCACATGAAGATTCAAGCTGAATATTTTTATTCTTATTCTCAGACGGTCCAAAAGCTTTCAGAAACTGCTCCATGAGAATTATGACCCAATGCAAGTGTCACAGGTGAGGCAGCTGTGACCAATTAAGTGTTGTCACTAATTCTTCCCAGCTGCCTTGGAGTGGACAGGATTGGGACAAAAGAGAAGGCTCAAGTTTAACAACTTTTTCTCCTGCTGCAAAGTTTGTGTGAATCTAATCATCTGTTCATCAGCAATAAAGGAGGAGAAATGCATAATAAGCACAAGTGTGAAGAGACGTGAGCAGCTACTAAAAACAGCAGAACAGAGGAATTATGAAGGGCAGTGACTCAAGATGAAGCAAGCAGGGCAGCTGCAAAAGCAACTATGAGGCAGTTCACAACACTGCCCCATATGTGGTTCCAAGCAAGGTCTCTTCATGGGGCATGCTGTGTTTCACATATCTATGCCCTTATCACCTGATTCACGTCCAGGCTTCGAATCAAGGAAAAAAATCATCTTTTTTTTTTTTTTACTTGCATACCCTGTGATTCGGCTTATTCCTCTCTTCCCAGTTGTTCAAGCCTGCCAAGTATAGTGCTCTTTGTCTTTTTCTATTCCTGCACCAAATGGAGTCTAACCTTACCTGTGGCAGAGTTCTCAGGGGAAGAAACAACTAATTATTAATAAGCAATAGCTAATTTACAGCCAACTTTTCATACTATCCCATTAGGAATTTAAATAACATGATCCCAAGCCTTCAGAGAGAGCAAACTCACTCAACTGCAAGAAGGGTAAAGCTGAAGCTCCAGTGTCCATTCAAGAGCAGTGTGGTTAATATGCCAATTAAAAATTGAGTGTGAATTGTGAATCTTCAGAGCTTTACAATTTAGCATAAATTGGGAAGAAAGATTTTCATGGTGTGAAGGAGAGGAAAAAATGAATAAATATAGATTATTCAGAAGGTTTGAAAAAGCATCTTTCTTTGAGAGACATGATTGAAATTGTGGAGGAAAAAAACTATGAAACTAACTGGAAGGGCTTCATTAAAAGCTAAGAGTAAACATGTACCCTTCCAGTGACACAAAAATATGGAAAAGGAAGAACTGCTCCTTCTGTTTGCTTGTTTGGCTCAGTTCCAACTAATGAAGTCTCCTCCTGTGACTCTGTGCTGGTTACCTAAGAAACTACAGCAGGTTGGAGGAGTTCTCATATCAGAACTGGAGACGCACTCCAGCAGCAGATGCAACATCGGCCCCAGTAAAAGAGGAAACTTGTGTTGTTCTAGTGATTTAGACAGCAAAGCCTATTCTCTGACACGAAGGTTAAAGAGGGAAAAGTGAGGATAGGTAAGAGTTAATAGCTGCAACAGCAAAGCAAGAATCTGCCACTAAGTTAAGCAAATGTATTCTCACTTACCTTTACATTTGGCTTCTTAACCGAAACACCTCTGTACCAACCTAAAAACAGATAAAACACCCTACATTAAATTGTGGTATCACTTTGCACAGAAATGATCTGACTGAAAGCTATGCCCTTACTGAGATCATTTTTGGAAAAACAACAACACCTGTGCTTCACAAAGATCTTTTTTTTTGTTCATTTTTATTTATTTTTAACTCTTCAGTGAGGACGAGCCATTAGAAACCTGTAAAACTTCTATTTCTACAAGAAATAAAACCAGCTCAGCCTTCTTTGTTCTTGCAATCACTGGCTACTGTGGTAAAATAATATTCAGCACTCATGCAGGAATCTGTACTGAGCATTTATCTTACGTGGTACTACGTGTCTCAAGGAGGAAAAAACCACATGTTTCTAACATTATCTGAACAAATATAAAACCTTTCGTCTTGCACGTGCGTGAGAGACTGGAGAACAGACTTCAGTGTTTCATAAATCCAATCAATAACTGTGCTTCTCCTATCAAAGAGCAGGCCCGCACAGGGTAATTAGCAGAAGTTGCAAAGGCTACAAATTAAACCAAAGAGCCCAATTACTGCTTTACACAGGTGAAACAGATTATGTTACTCCATACAAGGCTGCAACTCATCAGGATGAAGAAAAAGAAAAGCACTGGAAGAGGCTCAATGGGAACAGAGCCAGGGGCTCCAGTTACAGGGGACAAGCCTGCCCTTCTGTGCTATATGGTGTGCAAGGCTCCCTGGCATCCTCCCTGAAAATGCTTTTCTTTTAGGGATACTTCGCCTTGATGAATCACTGGCTTCAAGGATCTCATAATAAAAATTTAATCAATGAAGTTCTGGCTGTGAAATACTGGGTAGTTTGGAAATAACATAAATCAGAAATATCCACAATTTATTAGTCATTATTTAGATAATTTAACTAGTAAGAATTGGTGATTCCTTTACAGATAGCTAAAAATATTCTAAAACTGCTCGAGCAAGTGAAGGATTTAGCAAGAAGCAGACACTGCTGCACTTTTAAATGACTGAGCACTTTCAGAAAACAAATCACTTAATGGAATTAAAAAATATGGAGGGCCTACTAATGGAAAGCGGTGAGAAAGGAGGGTGTATTGTCACACAGCTTTTCAAAATTAGGGAAAAATAGCTCTCCTTTTTGTATTTTACATGAATATTTTAAATTACACTGATTAAAAAAAAGCTATCATAAAACAAAAGAGAAAATGGTTACAAAGTTAACTAATAAGCAGTTAAGAAGTGCCAAGATTTAATACCACCTCTTTATTAATTCTCCCCCTTCTGTAGTGCCTGGCGGTGCAAGCGTTCCAGTATCTGCAACAACTAATGCCAGGATCCTTTCCAGAATTCTCCTTTACATAATCTGGATTCCTTTACAACATCCTGCCCACATGTGCCCCAACCATGGAACAGTATCTTACAGAAAAGAGAGGGTACGAGATCATATAATTAAAGACTTCAGTAAAACGAATTCAGTCCACCCAATTAACAATAGGAGCTTAAAAAAAAAAAAAAAAGGAAAAAAAGAGCCATTTTCTAATTTCCTAGTAGAGGAGTTGAATATTGATGTGGCAGTCAACAGAAGCAAGCTGGCAATCTGCAGACCCCAAATCCCCTGGTGAATCCGGAGGAGAGAGTCCTTTAACAGCTTTAAAGGAGCAGCTGGCTCCCTGCTTGCTCTTTGCTTCAGCTCTTTTCTTACCTTTTTCCTCTTTTCATCATCTTCTTTCTGTACAGTTCCCTCTCACCATTTCTTTTCCGAGGCCTTTCATTGCATCACTTGACTCTTCTCCACCTTTTGTGGCCCTCTTCCCTCCCTGGCTTCTGCTTTCACTGCTCCTCTTCCCGCTACCCCTTCCAGCTCCATCAGTTAGGAGCTCTCCTCTAGAGCACACACTCATCAGTAAGAAAGTACTAGAAGCCACAGGTGAGATCATTTGAAATCATCTGCCTAATTGCTATTCTGCAGAGAACCCTAAATACACCCCTAACAAGTCAGACARATTTCAAGGATACGTAACATGCAACATAAAGCAGGTAAAAGCAGCCTGCGTGGGGTGTCACAGGGATCGCTGACGGTATTTCCATTCATGCTAGGATGCATTTTCATTCGAACATAAAACCTAGGGCAAAAAAAATACCATCCTTTACAGCTGCTTTCTTCAGTACTATCTAATGGTATCTGACCACAAGCCAAGACAAGCAAGTAGGCCTACTTACTGCTGGGCAAGTAACCCCTCAAAGAGCTGCAGGAAGAATTACTTCCATGATTAGAAAACTACGGAAAAACAAAAGGAAGAATGCAACGCTTTGCCTGTTTTCCCTGCGCATTAGGAAAATGATTTGCTTGTAACTTCTTCTTCAAAAGACATTCTCTGCAGATAGAGGTCACACTTTAGGGCGCTTGCAATTCAGTCCTGGAAGCTAAACCAAGTTTTACTTAGCAATGCATGTAAGAACAGCCTTCCCTTTGATCCCAGGGTTCGTTCAGCTAACGAGTACTAGGTTCGTGCTGCTCAGCTCCTCTGAACAAGCAATTCCTCGATCCAGGATCCTACAGGGCTTTTGAATAGCCAGGAAAAAAGTATTTAATCAACATCACATACCAAAGATTTGGTAAGTAAAGTCTTCTTTAAAGATTTGTTCATATGGAAATCCATACTAATGGCAAAGTAGAGGCAATGGGATCTCAGAAAAGATATTGACCTGTTTTTTCAAAAAAAAAAAAAAAAAACAGAGCTCAAACATTCAAGTTAACCTAATAAAACAACAAACAAAAATAAAGATGGCTCCACTCAGCTGCAGAAAAACAAAGGACATCAAAGGCCATTTAAAACTTTGACAAGTAGTATTCAGAGAATACACTGTGCAAATATTTACAGTTACTCCTAAGTATAAACATTTCCTTAAAGAAAGCCCTGCTAGGAGAATCCACCCGAAGAACTTGAACTCTCCTAACCCTAGCAAAAATAACGGCCACACAAAGTCTGGTTGTATTAATTAAGCAAGTTGACTAGTTGAGTCCAAAGAATTGTGCCCACTTTAGACAAATCAAACTCTCAATCCCACTTAAAGTGACATTTCTCTGAGGGGGAAGGTGAATTCTTCCCAAACAGCCAGTGATGGGATGGAAAATTAAAATGCCTCCAGGCAGTGGCTGCAGGGTCAGTATCACCATTCAGAGGCAGGAGAACATGTCCCAAACACAGTTTGAAGTTCCAAGTAAAAATAAAACAATTCTTTACAATAGAAACAGCAGCAATATGGCAGAATATGGAACAGTTTTATTTACCCAAATGTAAATCCATAATGAGGTTCCCATTCCCGAGGTTCCCATTCCTAAGGTCCCAAATACACTTAAAATGTTTATTACTGTAAGTTCTACTAGAAATTTAGCAATCACATTTTGCATTATTTCTCTAAAGTCTTTCTTGTTTTGCCCGGAACTTAAACTTTTTGTTTTCAGATCTCACACATGATGAAAAATGAATCTAAGCATAGCCTGCAGGGTTGATGGGCTGTGAGGATTTTTAATTTCAACAGGTTTTTGTTTTACTAATTGGGCAGCCTARAAAGACTGATAGATAGCAGATAAAACCTTTTATCTGCTTTTATTTATCTCTTCCAAGAAAAATAAGCCAAAGAACAAAGACTTTTAAAAACTACTAAAAGCACCAATTTTGAAAGACCACTGCAAAGTTTTTAGCTCAAGTCTCTGAAAACAGAGATGCCAAAGGAAAAAAAAAATCACATTCAAATATAAACAAGGAAAACAGACAATAGCAATTGATATAGTAACGATTTGCAAACGAGTAAATGAAATAAAACTTATGTCTCCAGCTGTTTGCCAGAGGGAGACAAAAAAGGGACACAAGGAAGTAGAGCCAGAGCCTGAAGWGACACCTCTGCTCCCGTAAGTTACTGACAATTTGGATGGAAACTTGACTCTATACTGATTAAGAACAATGTGCAAATTTTAGATTTCAGATTTTCAGATTTAGGGAAATCTGATGTAAAAAGTAGCAACAATTACGTTATAAAACTACCCGATCCTCAAAGGAAACGTGGGCCAAGGACCAAGGCTTTTCTGACAAACCGCAATGGCCAAGCTTCTTCCATCATGCTCACGAGGCTGAGAAACACAAAGGGCTCCACAGCTGCTGTCTTAGTCTGACAGACTACTAAAACTGTAACAGGTAGAAGTGATTTCCAAGCATTAAGAGAGATTTTACATTTTGAAAAGTACAGAAAAAAAAAGCAAATCTTTTTTTTTTTTTTTTTGTTAAATAAGCACCACATGCAACCTCACTGTTTTTCTTCAGCTTTGTATCTTAAGTTTTCTGATTTTTAAATTCAAAGACATTTTAAAATCAAAGACATCCAAAGAGACATAGAATGTCTTTGGACATTAGCTTTGTGTTTAAGAAAACTTTTTTTTTTTYTYTCTCTCTCTCAAAAAACCTTTCAGCTATGAGAGCACTATGTCAAATGGCTGCGGGAAATGAGATTTCTACCCAAAACCTGAACAAGGCCCCCCCCTCCCAGAGTGATCTTACTTCCCTCAGTCTTTATCAACAACTTAAGAGCTTTTTGAGCACTGAATTTCTATTGCAAATACATCAAAATATTTTATTATTTCAAGGTAACTATTTCAGTGGATGACATTTAGTTATTACATTTAATGATCATTGAAACAGCTTGACAGCTAAATATAAATTCATCTAGGAAAAAAGGTAATAGCCGTCCAAGAGATAATTTGCACATGAAGAGTATTTTTTTAAACAAGAAAAACATAACAAAAAAGAACCCTCTTAGCCACTTAATCTTACTTTAGATTTGCAAGACTTTTCTAGTACTATAAGTAACYTTTAAGTCTTACAGCAAAAATACTTTTTGTTGTGGTACAAATAGCATAAATCAGCTTTAAACATGTATGAAAAATACTTCTTTTATCCTAGTTCCAAGTTCCTAGGTCCAATCTGACCATTGTCTAGGGAAGCATTAAACCACATCAGCAT